GGACACCAGAACTGTGTGCAGTACTGCAAGTGAGGTCTCATGAGAGCAGAGTAGAGGAGCAGAGTCACCTCCTTCAACCAGTTGGCCATGCTAGGTAGAATCTAATCCTGTAAATATATACTCGCTCTTAATATGGTGACCTTATATACTCACTCTTAATATGGTGACCTGAGGGGAAGGGAGGTGCTCGCTGCTGCCTGCACGATTGCATGTGAGAACCAAATGCTGAGCAGTACCAACAAAACTGTGTTTGAGTCTTCCATTAAGCCTGCGAGTTCCTTCCTGACTCCATGGATTCAAGTGTACAATACAGCACTGGAAGTCATTATTATTACAAAGAATCACTAATTCAATAACGCCACTATCCTGCATGAATAACATCCGTACAATATTAATGCATTTCCCCCCATATTCACTGCAGAACACAAAGGCTGTTAACAGAACACACCGAGTCTTTAGGCGCAGATGCTGTTAATGCAGCAGTCGCTGTTACCCATGAGCTGCTAACGCCGAATGGAAGCTCTGGAAATTATGATTGCAAAGCACATTTTTGGATGCCATTCACCAAAAAGAAAATGTCTAAAAGTTGAAACTTCAAATAGAAGTAGGGAAGCTGTCTGGCATTACATGATAACATGGCACTTTATTATCCCTCTTCAATTGTTTGACGTTTATGCCTCTGTTTAGCAAGTCTGTTCGTTATCATTCTCCAATTAAGAGAGACTTCTTTTTCCCGATTATTTTTATGAAATTCTCATTTAATTAGCAATACAGCTGAGTCTCAAATGGCAGCTTTAAAAATATCCTTCTCCCCATCAAGCAGCCAAATGGTCTTTCTGAGATATTTGCAGCGTTGGAAACCTTTGTTTGTCTGCTAATTATCCCCCTGCTTAGACGACAGGAATGTGAGCACCTGACAATCAGGGGTTATTCACCGGATGCTTTCATTGCTCACGATGTGGAAAAATACAAATTTCACTTATTAAAGCCTTCTATTGGCCTTTATTTTAAAGAAGAGAATGGGATTTATTGGACCATTCTCAGATTGCGCACAATAGGTGAGGGATTAAAATAACGTATGACAAAATGGAACACAGGTGTGATAGGAGACGTCAGGATTCTGCAGGCACAGAGCAAAATGGGAGGAAATAGGTTTATACAATAAGGAGAGCAAGAAAAAATCAAAATCAAATCACCGGTAACATTTAGTGAATGAGCCCTCCCGCTATACAACTGAAGACCATTATGGCATCTAGCAACAAATATACAAACAAGCTTAAAATGCATTTTTGCCATATATTGATGGGAGCACATAGAAAGGGAACCCCATAACCCACCACTGAACTGCATCCACACTTGTAAGGGAATGTGGCAGCTTTCCAGGTCTCTGCTGTTCAGCCCGCCCATTGCATCTTGCTCTGTACAACACTGCCACTCTCCAGCTCCTTGGGATGGATGAGCTTGTGCAAAGCATTGCAATGCAACCACTGCCTGTGTCCAGTGCTGCTGGGTCAGCAGCCAAGGATGGTTATTAGTATCATAGAATGATTTGGGTTGGAAGGGGCCTTAAAGCTCATCCAGTTCCAACCCCTGCCACGAGGATGGACACCTTCCACTGGAGCAGGTTGCTCCAAGCCCCATCCAACCTGGCCTTGAACACTGCCAGGGATGGGGGAGCCACAGCTTCTCTGGGTACCCTGAGGCAGCGCCTCAGCACCCTCACAGGGAAGAGCTTCTGCCTAAGAGCTCATCTCAGTCTCTCCTCTGTCAGGTTAAAGCCATTCCCCTTCTCCTGTCTCTGCAGGCCCTTGTCCAAAGCTCCTCTCCAGGTTTCTTCTAGCCCCTTTAGGCACTGCAGCTGCTCTAATGTCTCCCTGGAGTCGTCTCTTTTCTAGGGTGAACAAGACCAACTCCAGTTAGCTGGATAAAGGGTAAAATTGTGTTTTTCATAGCACAGGGTACAGGGCAAAATACTAAATTTGAGACTAATGGAAACATTTTATCTTTCAGGTTTTAAGCCTAATTCTAGCAGGAGATAACAGACTACCGCCCATGCCAGAGGTGGGTTTCAAATGCTGTTGGTGTTGCACACAATCCGAGGGAACTTCTGATTCAGCCACTGTGGCTTTCCAGTGTTCTTGGTCTTGTTTCTCTCCAGTCCTCTGAAGCCCGGACAGTTTGAAAGGAGGTGAGATACCAGCATAGCCCTTTCAGATGCCTGAAATGCACTTCTGATTTACAAATCTCCCCACTGACTATCCTCACCAACTCTTAACAAGCTCCAAGGTGTGCTTTGAAGTCAGTGTTTAGGGGTCAGGCACTAACACCTTCACCTAGGCATTAAAGGGGAGTAATGAAATAGTCTGCTTCTGCCAGAGAAGTGGAAAGGATTCCTTAGAGAGTCACTTTGGATCTCCAGCTGCAGTAATACGTTGTTATGAATCTCTATCAGTGCACTTGTAGTGCAGCTGGAGAGTATGTCTGACATTGCCTCCAGTGACCTTTTCAATATAGCCCAAGTGCTGCAGAGCCCGTCTTTCAAGAGGCATTCAAATCGAATTTACTCAGGCAGAAAGGATTGGCCTGAGGACAGCCCTACCACTGCTTCCCATTTCTCCTGTCATCATTCTCATGGAAATTGCAGTTCTTTATGCATGGTGCTTCCTGTGCCACTGCAAACATCTCCCTCCCTTTAAACAGCAGGAACAGCCACCAAGCTTTTAAAGGAGGGTCCTGAGTGCCCCAGCAGTCACAGCATGGTATTAGACACAGTGGGTGAAGGGTGTTTGCTGGTGGTACCAGCAGCAGCAGAACTGGGAAGATGAAGGTGTGAGTTTAAACACAACCTGTCAAAGGTCAGAACATGGCTGTGTGCACTGGCACCCCAAATTAGCTGCTGCATGTCAAGCACCTGCCCTCATGTAAAAAGATGAAGCTCATTGCTGTGGAATGTGAGTAGCTGGAATGTGTATCAGCTTCAGGTGCAGGAAGAGAAAGGCTTGGGAGAGGGCTTTGAGGGCTCTGCAAGGCAAGAGCAGCCAAGGAGCAACATCTTGGTGGGTAACACTAATGGCTCTGGGGTGAGGGCTCTGCCCTTATGCATTTGGCAGGGGGAAATGCTGCTTTTTCTTCATGTGCTTTCCTGGCACAGTATGATTATTTCATACATGTTTGTATGAGGTGCTTTAAAATGTAATTTATTTGATTAATTCGGTGTCTGTATTTTCCCAGTTTTGTTCGCTCCAATTTATGACAAAATTGAACGAAGTGGGTAACAAAATATAGCCCTGTCAGGCTCCTGTCTTCACGGATATAAAGAAAAATGTGAAACTGTCAGGCACACAAATGTGCCAAACCCCAAGGAAAATTATTACATTCTGCTTGACATTTACTTTAATTTTACAAAATTCTGTAATACCATTATAAATAATAATAATAAAAAGCAGCATGGAAATATTGTTAAGTGTATTTATTTTCATTTGCTAGCTTTGTGATTTATGGGTTTGCTTTATTTTTTCCCTCTCTCTGCATCACAAGAGAGAGATTGAGCATGTTGAGCTCAAGTGCTGCTGCCTGCCTACCTGCAGACCAAGGGAAGGGGTCACCCAAGGAAACATCCCCTGCTCATAAGAACAGGATGAAGTAACAGGAGATGTCTCTGCTTCCAAACAGTTTGCAAGTCTTCTGTTGAACTCCTGTAACGTGGCACAGGTAACTGGGCCAGATGTGTAATTGCTTATACCAGTCCAAGGAAGTTGGTTTAACTGGGGATGATCCAGTGGTGCTGAGTGGGAATAGGAGACAGACACCCAAAATAAGGGTGGGAAGTGAGTAGTCTGACCCAAAGACTAGTAATGAAAGTAGAGAAAGAATTGAGCTTGCAGAAAAAAAGAAGACTCCAGAGGGTGGAAGTCAGCAGCTCTCTTCCAAGAATGGGATAAGCAAAAGCTGCTTGAGAAGAACATGCACGGGTGATGCTGAGGGCCTCATCCTGTTTACCCTGCTCATGGGAGCTTTGCCATTCTATCCCTTCCACGAGATCAGGGTTGGCTTTTGAGGCCATCCCATCACTGAAGCTCCTGTGAAGAAGCCCTGCAGCACACAGTTTTTAATCGAGAGGCAGCTGTTCTGTCTTGCTTGTTGCTGGAGCTCCAAAGGCCACCAGGGCTTGTTCTCCCAACTCACATAATTGCTTCTGAAAGTCCCACATTCTTCTCCCTGCCAAGCCTCAAAGTAGTCACACACCAAAGGAAATGGGAGGAGAAAACCAAGGCATCAAGGTGACTTTTCCTCTTGACAGATGAAGGCAAAGCAAAGTGTATGAAAATAATTGATGTGATGTAGCAACGGAGCTGGCATCATTTACATACGGAACTGACAGCATGCGCCATTCACAGGCCCTTTCCACTATAAATAATGCTTTATAGTGACACAAAAAAGCCCTATTTATCTTGGAAGTTAAAAAGGCACCATCTAAGTGGACAGCCGGCTTCTGGACTCCACAAGGAAATGTTTATACAGGAGACCATGCTTTAGATAAAGATACATCACCTGGCTGGTACAGGCATGGCTGTGAACTGCAGCATTCCAGGGATTTCCAGCCCCTATTCGCTATCCCTGCGCTCCCCACTAAGGCTGATGCATTGGCTGGGACACAGATCTAACCCATGGTCCCTGCAGTTTGGAAACCTCAAAGGGCTTTGAGAGGTCAATGCTTGTTACCTCTCCCCTCAACATTCCCCTTGTCTCTCATTTCCAAGGTGCTTGGGTCTCCTTAAGAGCCTTCAGCTGTGCTGGATTTGGAGGTGAGTGCTCCCAGCTGCCCACGCAAACCCACCCTCACCTAATTTGGTTAAAAGGAGCTCAATATAAGTAGCTGCACTTTGGTAACCTGGTTTGTTTTGACAAAAGTGAATTAGGGAGTGTTCTAGGGGCTGAGATATCCAAAGCAGTAGGTGTCTGTGAACAGGTGAGGCTGGTGGCCTCTGCAGCCCAGCAAGGTACAGCTGGTACCTGATGGGGATATGTGCAATGGCTGTTGCATTGCACAGGAGTTTGTCACAGCGTTGGTCCTCTTGAGTTCCAGGTAAGCCCTGATGTCCTTGGATCACTGACCTGATGGAACAGGCTGAGGGACTGGCTGCATCTAAAGGAAAAGGTGAGAGGTTTCAATGAGCTTGAGTATTCATCTGGCATGCAAGGTTTAATTTGTTTCCACCTGTGTGGGATGGTTGCTGTTGGGAACTAAATCTATGGAGGCTCTGGTCATGCAAAACAAGGAAGGAAGGTCCTCCCTGGGGTCTCCAGGAGCATACCTCTGCTGCCAAAGGCCAGCAAACCAGGACCCCTCAGTAGCACTCTCAGGTGAATAGTGTTGCTCCTTTATACAGACACCATCCATCTCCCCTTGCTACGGCCACCTTGGCCTCTGGGGTCCATGCTCTGCCTGGCAGTGAGTTTCTGCTGAAGCCTCACCTTTGATAAGGCCCTTCTGGGAAGCAGAATGTGTTGCCTGCTCAGGAAAAGGCGTTATAATGGGCAGCTACCTATGGAGGAAGATGGATCGCCAAGTCAGAAATCAATCGAGAGGTTGTGATGGCATCATAAATCAGGGGATGCTGAGCGTTAAAAGAAACCCAACGCTTGATTTATAACTTGGCACAAGCCATTTGTCGCCAGCCAAGATTTCAGAAAGAGAAACACTTTTGTAAGCTTAATTTAACATTTTTTTCCACCATGCTAAGCATTTCTGTAGGGTTTGTTTTTCTCCCCCAGCAGATAGAACTCAATTTGCAGATAAAAGCAGCTAAACGACATCTGAAGATTTTGTTTCGCTTTGAAATGCTTGATAGGTTTGAGCTCTCTTTTCCCTAATCCAGGGTCATTCTTCTCTGAGCCTCGTCTCCTTCCTGATGTCTTTTAATATCGAGTCTCACTGGGAGTTGGAGGCTTTTCCTACTAGATGGCTGGTGCAAATCCAACTCATGCTGATGAAAAGTATTGTCAGTTAATCACTTGTGTTGCTTCTGTGAGGCTCATTTTGGTAGCAGCAGCAGGTAGGCAGCTGCCTCACCTAAACCTGTTTCTGCCTTCCATTAGCTGTGTGTCTGCAGCCGCAGGAGAGGCCAAACAATTAGCTGCAATAGAGACTGGGATGGGATTTTACCCCTAAGGTGCGGTGGCCCAGTGGAGTGGATGAGTTTGTGCGGCTGCTGTCCAGTGCTGTGGTGGGGAACCTGCAGTTTCTGATGCATCAGACTGGCTTTATCTGTCCCTGCATCTCAGCATCTCGAGGAGGGCATCGCCTCTGTCACACTGCCAGGCAGTGTGTAAGCAACCATTAACATATATTTTTGTGGGAAATGCAGAATGAAAGTAATATTCTGGTGTGAGGCTTTTTGAGAATTTGAACTTAAGCATCTGTTTAATTCTGGAGCACTCTGAGCATCAGTGAGGCTTGGTGAAATGGAGACAATGCTGTTCCTAAAGTACTTCATCTTTTCTTTGTAACTTTTTAATTGCATTTTGGCATGGATTCTTTTGGGGGCTTTAACCCAAGGTGGAGAAGCTCAAGGGATGGGGCGGTTTTGGAGTTACCTGTTTGCTTTTGTGATGTTGTGTCAGGGTCCCCTGAGGCTGCTCGTTCCTGGTTGAAGTGACCAGATCATCCCCAGCTGCCTGCTGGTATTTCTGGGAGGCTGTGAAAGGCAGAGGGCTCACGCATTGGCCCTGTGGCAGTGGGAATTGAAAAGCATCTTGACTGCCCTCAGCCCTGTGGGATGGGGTAGTAGAGTCCTGCCAGGAGCCCACCAAAAACACCTCTATGAAGGTGTTCCCATCATGAGTTCTGTATCCAAGTTAATGCTGTCGAGGGTGTTTGCAGAAGCCTAGTTCTTGCCTCATGGAGAGAAAGGCACCGTTTTCAGCTGCTATGGGGCTGAGGAGGCCATGACGGGGGGTTTGGATTCAAAGTTGGAGAAAGCTCCTGTTCCAGGTCCTGCTCTGAGGCTGTTTCCCCATCAGTTTGACTTTCTCTAACTCAGTCCAGACTTGCTGAGAAACCTGTGAACCTCAGGGAAGCTCTTTGGCAAAGCTGATGTGCGTTTTGCTTAGTTTGGATTTCACGTGAAACACCCAGTCCCCTAATCCACACGGTTCTTGTTTCAGCTACGTTAAAGTAATGGCCGATTTGTGTGTGCCAGAACCACAGGATCCCTCCACACTTCGTTGGCACTATTTGTCCGTTCAGCAAGCATATAATTGTGCTTCTTAATTGAAAGTATTTGTCAGTGCAAAGCGTCATACAGGAGACTGTCTGGGAGGAGGTGCCGTTGTGTGACTTGTCTTGTGCAGATGCACAGTGGGCCACAAAAAGATAAAGAGCAACAATCATTTTATCTATGAAAGAATGAACAGTGATGCCCACCTGGTCCCCTTCTCCCCATGGAAATGTCTGGTTAATAGTGATAATGAAATGGTTATGGTGAGACAAGGCTGCAGAGTGGCTCTGCAGCTGATGTCACCTTCTTGGTAAAGGTGGATGTACCAGAAGTCTGGTGATGTTTGGAGTGATGTCTTCTGGCAGCAGAGGCCTGAAGCAAGATCAGGGCAACCAGAGCATCCAGCTAAAGCTTGCTGTAGGGTAAGATGCTCTTGCCTCAGCAGCTGCAGGTCTCCCGTTCCTGGAGCAGGGCTGACCTGGAGTGGGTTCATGTGAGTACTGTAGGAGCTGGTGGGGATCCCCAGCAGCGTTGGGCTTTCCTTTTCTCCTGCTACAGATTGAGGGTCAAAAGGCTGCTGTGTCCCTCCAAGCCCAAATCCTTCTCTTCAGAAAAAGCCTTTTGACGACCAAGGTGGTTTCCCTGTGCTGCAGAGCAGCCCTGGCTCTGTGGTAGTGAGTCAAGCGCTGTTCCAAGCCAGAGAAGCCATCCATCTGCACAGCCAGGTCCTTTCTTCCTTCCCTTTTGTGAAATCACTGCCTCCCCAGGCCAGCTCCAAGCAGGGCTGCACAATGGCAGCCTGACTTACCGCGATCTCACTTGGCAGCCTCAGACCTGGTGGGCTCTGATTTCATTTTAAAGACCCCTTCTGCCTCCTCTTATAATTGAAAGGCGAGCTTGTAGTGCAGTGAGGATCCTAAATGGGTCAGACCAGCGGGCGGGCTCCAAAACAAACATCCTTAACGCCAAACCACTGAACCATATAGTGCGAGCTGACAGTGCCTCTTTTGCCTGCTGACTTTGACCACACAGGCACTGTCCTCTTAAAGAAACAGCCAGGGCTGCTGGCAGCTCTGGGGTGGGAAGGGAAGATGGCACCAGATGGGGCAGGGGCAGAGGTCCCTGTGGTGCATGACAGAGGGCTAAGGGGTAGGAAGCCCTCACAAAGCTGCAGTGGGTTGTTCAGCGCAGTGAGTTGGCTGTAGTTTGGAGAAAAGGATGCTGAGGGGTGATGTCAGTGCTCTGCAGCTTCCTGAAGAGGGGATGTGGGAAGGGAGGAGCTGAGCTCTGCTCCCTGGGATCTGCTCATAGGGCACATGGGAATGACTCAAAGCTGCACCAGGGGAGGTTTAAACTGGACTTCAGAAACATTTCTTTACCTAGAGGAGGGTCAAACCCTAGAAGAGGCTTCCTCAAGAGATGGTCAATGACCCAAGCCTGACAGTGTTTAAAAGGCATTTGGACAATGCCCTTAACAGCATGCTTTTAACTTGTGGTCAGGCAGTTGGATGAGATGATCACTAAAGGTCCCCTTCAACTGAAACCTTATATTCTATTCTTTCTGCCTGCTGAGGTTTCCTCTGTGTCACTCTGATTCCCACAGAAGTTGACCCTGCTTTAGGGTTTGTTGGTTTGGGGTTTAGATTTTTATCACATAAGCCAACAGGGAGGGCACAGCAGCTGCTTTGCTTCCCATTTCTTGGGGCATCTGCATGACTTTGGGTTAAGTTGTTCTCGTTGGCATCTCCTGGAGGGATGTGTGTCTGTGTCCTGCCGCTGCAGCCTGGGCTCTGGGTACAGGGCTGTGCCAGGGAATATGGCCATCCACCAGCAAGAAGAAATCAAAAGATGAAACTCAAATACCCTCCACTTACAAATGGTGCCTATGGTCCATTTAGTTTCATATACACAAAGTAATATTGTTCATAGGCAAAATCCCGGGAGCCTCCCAGAATACAGAGAGGATCGGTGTTGCTTAGTTACCGGCGGCACGCTGCCATGCTCAGATAAATCAATACAGCTCCAAATATTAAAGCCTTTAAAATAAAATCAAAGCCGTGTCCATATTCCCCAGTGCTTCTGCTTTACCTTTGAACAAACATGGCATTGCACTGGAGCCGTGCAGGAGGCAATGGAGGACCTGGTTACTGCATGGGCTGCTGCTTCTCCTTTGCTCGCTTGCTTTTTCCTCGCGGTTAAAAGCAAAGAATAGGCTGTTCCCTCCCAAAGGACAGAGCAGGGTGGAGAGAAAGGGATGGACAACCAGGCTTTGTAATGGACAGGGAAGTGAGAGCAACTTCTTGCTTCTCCCCAGCTGTGTTTCATGATGATTTTCTGCTCTGAACAGTGATGCTGTTGTGAAGCCCTTGAGCCTTCCTGCCAGCAAGTATTCAGCCTTGGACAGACACCTGGTAGCAGCAGCTCTTGTCTTCTGGGGCCTTGTGGTGTTTACCCTGGGCAAGATGCTCCAGGTTAGACCTGACAGGATGGACCACAGAGTCCTCAGCAGAGTCACAGTGTGTCCTGACAGCCGATGCTACCTCTGCTGAGAAACGGAGGGGGAATTAACTACTTAAAAGTACTAGAGGAGCACCTCAGCTGCCAGGACCATGTGTCCCTGCTCACCCTGGGTCAGACACGTGGGTGCTACGGGTGGTAGATGCTGCGGGTGTGGTAGTATCATCCTTGGAGGGGAGGTTATGCAAGTTGATAACTTTAAGTGTTTAAATCCTGCTCTTAATTAAGTAGGAAACTGAGGAAATCATGTCCCAAAGACTGAAAGAGAACTGGCAAAGCACAGGAGAGATAATCCTCTTTGGCTCAGTTACTAGAATGAATAAAATAGGTGGGAAATTGACCTAATTTGTTGATATAAACTTATTTGCTGAGGCTGACTTCTCTCACGTATGCAGAATGGCATGGGAAGGGCTCGCTCCAGAATGCTGGCAATGTATTATGCCCACAGGAGTGGGGTGGGCTGCCAGGATCAAATCTCCAGGCTCAGTAATCCCAGAGAATGGGAGCTTAGGTTCCGAAATGCAAATTTAAAGCAAGCCTAAGACCTTGGTGCATGGGCACAGCGCTGAGATAAGACACTTGCTGGCGCCTGAGAGTGGGTTAAGCTGTCTATATAGACACAGCCCTCAGAATCTGTATGACAGTAATGCCTGTAGAAATCTGCCAGGATTAGCTCACTTATATTAGATTTGGTAGATACGCACATGCAGCCTCCTCTCCCAGAAGATTGTAATGTAAGTAGACAAGTCAAAATAGTAGTGAGAAAAGAGGCTGTAACCTTACTCCAGCTTGTAGAAGGCAAACTAAAGCACAGCAAGCTTCAGTTGCCTGCCCACAGGTGCAAAAGAAATGCGGAGCCAAACCCAGATTCCCTAAATTCCAGCCTCAGAGAGTGCTGGAAGTGCCAGGACCACTTGTGATGCTGAGTTGTGGGGGCACCAGTTCTGTGGTCACAGATCAGGATGGAGCTCCAGCCCTTGCTGCCAGCACAGTGTGTCCATACCTGTGCTCGGCAGCTCGTGGGACATGGTGGAGCCGGTGCTGTTCTCCGCCAGCTTCATGGTGCTGGTGTGGTTGTGCTGCTTCTCCTCAGCATGGAGGAGGGACTGTAAGTCCTGGCTCCTCCATGGGCTCCCAGCCTGCAGCAGCTCATGGAGGTGTTAAGAGGGATCATGGTAGTGTGGTGAAGCAAATAGTGCTGATGCAGAGAGAGGTGAGTCTGGAGGAGAATTTGGAGGTGTCTGCTGTGTTTCGTGCTCCGAGGTGAGCATGAACCACTGGGAGCAGAGCTGGAGTTCCCAGGCTGAGCTTGCTGTCATCTGTTACCTTTCCAATGGTCTCAGTGGCCTGGCTGTGATGGGTGGTAGCCAGGCCTCGTGGGGTGCTCTGGTGTGAGCAGTGCTCCTGAAGAGCTGCTGGAAGTTGAACTCTGGTGGATTTCCAGGCTCACAGGGAAATAAAGCTCAGGCATTATTGCTCCCTTCTTCCTCCCAGGGCTCTGGGAGATCACAGGCAATGAGAAGAGTCTTAGCAGGAGGGGAATAGCAGTGAATGAGGCTTCTTTTTCCTCTACTGAGCCTCAGCAGCAAGGTAGCTCTCTTGATCTGAAGGGGATGCTGAGACCTTTCTCAACCATCCCAGAGGATTTTTATTACAGGGCCACTAAGAGGAGAGGGAGGGATGGGACTCCATGAAACATTGGTTCCGTGGGTGCTCCCCTTCTGCACGATACTGCCCTTCATCTCCCCAGTGTGAAACAGGGTATTGGGAATTGCCAAATTCTTGTGGTTTTCACCAGCCCTATGGCTGCTTGGGAAGCAGGGATTTATTTTTCTTCAGAAGGTTCTCAAATACAATTTCGCCTTTGTTTTCCTTTCTACTGAAAAGTACTAGAAAGTTGGGGAATTGGCAGTCTCTGGCTATAATCCACATCCGACTCCTTGTGGATAAGCTTTGCCCTTCCACCTTTTCCCCCGTATCAAACAGAGCAGCATGCACCTCTTAGAAGAAACCAGATCATTACAACACATGGCTTGTGTGGCACAAAAAGAAAAGGAGAAGCAATAAAATGTGCAGCCCATGTTATGATCCTTGTTCCAAGGGTGTACATTTTAATTGATTTGGTTGAGTTATCATTAAATCTCAAGAGGTCTTTCTGCCTTTTACCTGCTCCATGAAAAGCCACTCAGACAGAGGCCCTTTTGGAGAGTATCTCCAGACAGAAGAATTCAGATGATGATTGTCGAAACCAAGGTGAGAAGACACATTTGCACTGAGAGAGCTAGCTTAGATTAGCAGGCAGCAGCATGGTATGTGAGCAGAGATTACTGATAAAGACAGATGTAAGACATAAACAGATGAAATTTGACTTAAATATTTATAAGAACCCAGTGTGCTCTTACAAATGTTACGTTTGGGAAGGAGATACTGATTTATAGCTGCTGTTTGCACTGTTTGCCCTGCTTTTGTCACTCCGTGGCTGGAGCTAACTTGGTTGTCCCACAGCCAAGGTGCAACTTTAAGGTCACACTTAAGAAGCTGGGTGCTGTGTGAGCATCTCTGAGCCCCTCTGCTCCTCCAGCAGAGGATGGTCCTTCTGTGTATGCAGCATCTGGGGGTTGTGTCCATCTTGAGGCTGGAGAGGGTTTGCACTGTGTTTCACCACAACTCTTGGTTGTGTTTGCTAAGTGCTGTAACAGTAGGTTGTAGTCTGGTAAGCCCATGGTGCTGTTGCTAGAGGTTGGGAAGGCATCTCCACCTCACCCAAACCAGTCTCCTCTGGTGTGTCTCACTAAACCCTGGGGCAGTTGTGACATGAGGTTACAGTTTAGCTTACAATGGCTCGTTTCTTCCAGAGAGAGATATAAGGAGAGTTCACCCGGTTGCTGCAATTGGGTCAGATCCTGAGCAGGGATGCAGGGAGCTGGGTGGTGGAGCTGGCGGCACCGGGACCGAGCGGTGCTGTGGGAATGGGCAGGTTTGGCAGAAAGGAGCAAGGGGGGGCCAGGGGGCAAAGAAGCTGGGGGGGACATGACTGGGGTCTCCAAGCTGGGCATGAGGAGCAGAGGGACCAGCAGCAGGCAGGGAGATGGGGCTGATGGGGACAAGGACTTGCTCACTCTTGCAGCCGTGCACCTGTTCACCTCACATGGCATTTGGAGTGGCAAATACCACCCCACTGAAGGGGAAACCGGTGAAACCCCATTGACAGTAGCTCAGACCATGAGAGTTTGTCCCCGTGCACACCTCGGTGGCTGCAGAGTCCCCACGCCTTCAGCTGAGCAGGGCTGTGACTTCCAAAGACAAGAGCTCCTGCTTGCTAAACAGGAGAACGCTGGTGCTATTCATTATTAATGAAACCTCACACACAGCATTAAAGACATGGGCAATTCTTTTTGGCAAGTGTAATGAAAAAAATTAATTGAATAATCATTCCATGTAAATAGATTTAGATAAGCTTCTCTTCGTTTTCTTTTTCCCCTCCTCATACCTTCCACTTCTCAGTAGAGAAAACACTGATTTATTACCTGGAATATTGTTATAATTCAGAGCATCCTGTGGTGAGCTGCACTGGCTGGGGCTGCTGAGTCCCTTGGTTTCAGACAGTCTTGTTTAGGGGATGCATAGTGGCATGAGGAAAAGAAAACAGCTGTTAAACATTACTGCTATTAGGAAACCAGGGAAGAAACCCCACTTTTGAGCAGTGCTCTGGCTCCCTGCAGCCCCCCTATGAGGCTGAGTGCCAGCAATGACAGTCTGGCTTTTTTTCTGTATTTCAGTGAAAAATGAAAGTTAACCTTGGGCATCTTCTTCAGGGTCTCCAGCTCTCACTCCCTGACGTGGGGTATTTCTAAAGCTGGAAACCTTTCTTGCCTGTACCCATGAAACTTTTCAGTTCTCATTACTCAGCAAAGTGGCAAATGAAGAAAGAGCCAGGAGACATCATTCCATAGACATTTCTTTTGGCTGTTAAAATTGTCAAAAACACAAATACAACCAAACCTCCCAACTGCCTTTCTGTCCCCCTCTGCAGGGACAGAACTGTGGGGAAGTGATTCAGGACCAGACTGTGCTGAGCTGTTCAGCATCATCACTGGTTCAGCATGTCCACTTTTTGAGGCTTTAAATGGGCAAATTCCTCAAGCTGTGCTCTGCCCTGTATTTAAGGTTATGCAGACCGATTTTAACTCTAACTCTGCAGACTTCCCAGGGCTTGTGTCACGATATGTATGCCCTGGAGCCGTATCACAGTTTGACCCGGTGTCTCTTTCAGCTCCCTGTCTCGACCGACAGTGAGATACCGGCTTTCTTGTTGTTCCCTGCAGTTACAATTAACTTCAAACAGTGTCTTATCATTAAATCAACCTAGATTGAACCAGGCAGCTGCCTTAAAGAGAGACTGCTCTTACTTTTTCTGCACTTACTCCGCTACTGCATTGCTGCTTCTGTGAGAGAAACAGAGGGAGAAAAACTATCTGCTGAAGCAGGTGCCTTGTTGCTGCTTGCCATGCCCAGAGCTTGAGTTTCTTTGGCTTTAAATGACATCTGAGTGTGTTACTGTCCCCTGAAATGACAGAAGAGCTCAGCTTATTGCTACCTTGAGATCTAACAGAGCTGCTGCATTTTGTAGCCTGTGGACCTGAGGCAGCTCTGTTGGGTATCTGAGATCAGAAATAGGAGCTGGCTCTTTCTCCAGCTTGGTTTACAGCTCTGGCAAAATACCTGTAACTCTTCTCTGGGGGGTTTATTCCCATTGCCAGGTACAATTGTAACATTCATAAAGTGAGTCAGACCAACATAATGAAGATTGCATCTTGTTTGTGCTCGCACACACCCCCCTGCCCACCCCTCCAGCGATGTGCTGAGCTGTAAAGAAGTTGCTTTGAGAATCAGAGCAACCCCTTTGCTCAGCTGGAGTTACTGAGCATCTCCCTCATGAGCTTCCGGAGGTTTATAACCTGGGTATTCTAATTCACAGTGGGCTGAAACTCAACACGGCAAACCCCAGCCTGGTGTGATCCAGCCTAAAAGCAGCAAAACTTGGTTGCCGAAGGGTTTTTTCCCCCATTAAATATCCCTGCTGGTTCTTATCCTTACCCATGCAATCCCAGGCTCGGTACCTGCTGGAATTTGGCTCAAATGTCTTTGGAAGGGGGTAAAAAGTCCTTGGCCTGCAACCAAGCTGCTCTGTCTGCAGGGGCTGATGCTCAGCAGTGCCACCCGCTTCCCACAGGTGAAGTCCTGGGGTTTTGTTCCAGTTCTGCCAGTAACTCCTGATGAAAACCAGCAGAAACCACCAGTATAAAACAGGGTCAAAGGCGAGATGGAAGTTCACTCCTAACAGATACTGCTGTGTCTTTCCACTGATGTTTTATTGCCCTCCTCACTCATAAATCAGGTCTTTCATGGTTTTTAAGGTTTGGTTCCGTGTGGCTGCCCTCTGCTGAAGTGTCCATTATCAAGTTTCAGGGCTCTATTTAAACTTTTAATTAAAGAAAAAAGAAGAAAGCAAGTTATGGACAGTGTAACATTGTTCTTTTTTTCCTTTCTTTCTGGTTTTCCCCTCCCCTCCTGCCTGCAAAAGAGCCAGCTCAGCCTAATGCCTGTCTTCTGTATGGCCTGGCAGCAGTTCAGGACTGCTCATACTTGGTTTATATGGAATTTGGCCACCTCCAGTTGACCAAGCTCCCCAGGACATGCAGTGCAGGGGAGGGCAGGCTGAGCTGGGCGCATGAGCATGCCGACAGCAGGAGATTGGTGCCTTTGAAACCTGAGTCTTGCACGTTATAGGCTGGTTTGTGTTGTAAGGGGCCTTAAAGCTCATCCAGTTGCAACCCTCCTGGAAGGGCAGGGATACCTTCCACTAGAGCAGGTTGCTCCAAGCCTTGAACACTAAAGGGTCGTGGAAAAGGAACATTACATGGGGAAAGGGAAAGCTTTGAAGGGTGTCTGCTGGGCAAAGCCTTTATCTCATGGCAGGAACTCTTCTCTCCATGTTAGCATCATTCCTGCCTACGTCTTCTTTCTGAATGGTCCTTATGGACAATACCCAATGTCTAGGCAATCTTTGCAAAAGCACTCAGCTCCCACCTGCAGTGCTGAAGAGAACTTTCCCGTTTAGAAGGAAGTAATTTATGCTGTCATCACCTGGACATCGCTGGGAGGACTTGGGGTGGTTCTAACATCCAGGTTTCAAAAGGTCCTGCAAGATGAGCTCATGGTCTGGTTGAAACTGCCAGAGGGGGATTATATCAATTTCCTGTTACGAATCTGGGCTGGGTGAGTTTGCTTTCTCCCAGTCGTCAAGCTCTGGATCTGCAGCACACGTCATGTCTCTGAACATATGTTGTTAAATAGTTTACTTGAATCTCTGCATTTCTATTTTCTCTGTCATAAAATAAGTTTGTTAGCCCATGTTGCAGGGTTGTTCTGTGGGAGATTGATTTAAACCTTCACATAAAGCACTAGACTTGCACAAAGTGTTCTGCGAAGGCAGGAAGAGCCACATCCTTACCTGGCCAAAGGCTCTTTTGCTTTGGTGGAGTCAGTGGATTTCTCACTATGAATAAATTCTGAGTCTGGGGTGAGCATGACCCACTCCTTGGCATGAGCAGGGTGAGTGTGGCAGTGGGGGCTGCTCCCCTCCTCAGTGCTTCCCAAGGCTTGAAGCCTTGCTCATGCGATGCTGTGAGCCGTGTGCTTTCCCAGGAGCCTGCAGAGTGAGGCACAGGATGCTGCATGTGAAGTGCCACGTTATCTTCCCAAGGCTGTTTGTCAGACCTCTGCCTCTGATATAATGAGTGTCACCCTGTGCCCGTGCTCCTGCAGAGGAAGGGGTTTGGTCCCACACGGGGGAAGCAGCAAGTCGAAGGTCTCAGCACGCAGGAGTGAATAACAAAACGAGTGGTTGTTCTTCACCTCCATGAGGTCTGTGGGAGATGCTGAGCTCCACAAGCAGCCTTGTCCCCCATGCTTGTTGCTGTTGTGTTCTCATGGGAGTCTTCCAATGTTGACTGACAGTTCAGGATGGGAGATGGAGTGCAGGCACTGCTCCAAGGGAAAAGATGGAAAAGTCCATCTCAGTAAGGGGAGGAGGACCTTGGATCATCTTGCAGTGCATCTGCTGTAGCTCCAGTTGTTTCCAGAGTCCCTCTGGCTCTGCAGCCCTCTGTAACTTCATGCAATAGAAACCAAGATGGGCTCAGGACACAGATATGAAATGTTGCTACCAGAGATGTGGGAAACTTGAGCTGCTGCTGTTGACCTTGGCCAGATAACATGGATGGGACAGGCTTGTTTTGCATGAGACCTCACATTGAGGCTTGGCAGCTTAGCATTGGGTGCCTAAGAGTATATCCACATCGTGAATGTCCTTCCTGGAGGTATGTGTGGATGTGAGAGAAGGACCGATCCAGTACATGATGGGGGATTATAGCTATTAATGTATGTTGCTATGGTGAGTAACTAAAATCTTCCCACAAGCCCCATTCCTGCACCGCAGCAGGGGCCCTGTTGCAGCACACCTCATGCACAGCAGCAGCTTTTGAGCACAGGAGAAACCCACGACGTGGTTTCACCTCCTGGTCAATGAAAACGGTCCCTGGCTTGGGTTTAAGTAATGCTTTTAATGCTATTCTGCACAGCATGGAGGAGCCATAGGGTACAGGTAATGTGTGGATGTTGCCTGTCTTTGAGAATGCCATACATTGTTCATAACTGTTGTAAGACATCAGATAATCGCCTTCAAGGGAGAAACCTCTGAGGGAGGCTGTGCTTTGTCCATCTCAGGTACCAAACACAGCTCCTGGGTCCTGCACCCTTTCAGCCTCAGCACCAACACCAGGTCTCTCCCGTAAACTGGAGCATAAATGGTGTTAAGATTTCCTTCCTCTGCTTCAGGGCATCAAGGTCAGAGCTCTGCAAGCTGCAGCAAAGATCTGCTCTTGGGTCCATCACCTGAGAGAGTCCATCCAGCACTGTTTGTAACAGGTACTGGGTATCCTGGCCAACCAGGACCTGAAAGATCATGGACTCATAAAATACTTTGGGTTGGAAGGGACCTTAAAGCTCACCCATTTCCAACCCCTGCCACGGGCAGGGACACCTTCCACTAGAGCAGCTTGCTCCAAGCCCCTGTGTCCAGCCTGGCCTTGAACACTGCCAGCGATGGGGCAGCCACAGCTTCTCTGGGCACCCTGTGCCAGCGCCTCAGCACCCTCACAGGGAAGAGCTTCTGCCTAAGAGCTCATCTCAGTCTCCCCTCTGGCAGTTCATCCTCAAATGGAAAATACAAGGTCTGTCGTGTTCCAGTTCTGTCTTTCCTGTGACCCCCCAAGCTGCTGCTTGCTGGGCTTCTCCATTCTAACCCTGGGGAAAAAAGTGCCGGGCTTTGCTTTTACACTTCTTTTTTTCACCATGGATTTCTTTGGTTAGGAGGAAACATGGGTAATGGCTGCTGTGTGTCTCAAGGGGAATCCCTGACCTGAAGCTCATACAGGCTCTCCTCCTTCCTTGTGCCTCTGAAGAGCAGGGCTGTGAGCCCAGATGTGGTCACCCAGCAGGTGCGGGTGGGCTGGTTACCTGGGCAGCAGCCAGGGCTCTGAGACTGTAGGGGAGGGAGCTGGTGGGACCGACGGGAGCAAACCTGCTGTCCCATTCCCCCTCCGCACCCCTCATGCTGGGCAGTGGCTCAGGCAAGTCATTGCAAGGTATCGATTGTCACAGGAACAAAAGCAAAGCAGGAGTAAAGAGCAGTAATCATGTGAGAGGAGAGAAACTAGAGAAGTACACCACAGGTTCACTTAACTCCTGCTTGGTCGATAAGCTGCTTATTGAAACGCATTATTCTTCTGTTCCTGATTCCCAGAAGTGTCTGAGCTGCCTGGAAGACCATAACAAAACAGGCTGCCTCCTATGTCTGCCATTGATTTTAATGGAGAAAGACAGAGCGCTGTGTAATAAAGTGTAAAAAGATGATTCCTCCAAAGCCAATAGCACAATGGAATATCAAAGATGATGATTACCATGGAGTTGTTTCATAGTCTTGTCTTTGCACAACGAGTGGCTGGCTGGCCTCTTGGCACCACCATCCTTTTTCATGGCTCTGATGCTAATTCAGGGTTCTCACTAAAGCAACCACACTGGAAGGTGGGCTCATCCCCATACAGAGAGGAAAACAAGATGATTTAATATTCGTTTTGTTACTCTGATACTAAACTAGTCATAATTTAAGAGCAGGTATTTCCTTTTTCAGTCTGTTCCTTAGAATAAGAGCTCCTATGAAGACTGTGGAACAGATTCCTTCTGGATTTACTGACTAAACAAAACATAACGGCTTGGATGAACTTTTTTTTTTGGATGAATGAAAAAAAATAATAATTCCAGACCTACCAAAAATGCCTCATTCAATGGCAAATTAAGTGTTTTGGTTTGGGGAGTGGAGGGGAACAGCTTTGCTTTTGAGTTAAATTGAAGTAAATATAAAAGAAGAACAACTAAAAACGTGCCTGGAAAACATTTGAGCTGAAGAATGGGCTCCAGAGCGATGCTGGTGTTGATGTTGGCATAAATAAGTTTTATGATTTCAGCCTTGCCCAACTTGGAATTGTTATTTACTGGGGGGCAGGGAGGAGGACTGTCCTTTACCCAAAAGGGTTTGCATGGCCTGAGCCATAATATAACAAATGCTAAAATGTGATTTTAAAACACAGAGTTACTTTTAAAAGCTAAGATCTGAAGGAGAGATTTGCACCAGATGGATTCTGTTTTCAGTGATAGTTGGGGGTCTCGTCTCTTTGACATATTATTATTTTAAAATGAATAGCAAGAAAAATGCCCAATTCAGGCTAAAGGAATGCAGCAGCAGAACAAAAAAGAAGTGTATTGTTTTAACTCTGTAGGTCCTATAGCACAGCCACAGACCTTGTTATTTGCCATAGGGCTGTAATATCATCCCTAAACCAAAGAAACTAGGAGCAGGGTGCTCTAACATGCATGAGCCTGCATCATGTGGGAATGATGTGGTGCCAAACCCCTGCTTTGGTTGGGTTGTGCTGTGCTGGTGGCATCGGATTCACCAGTTACAGGAGCATGTTGGCCGTTGGAGCTGCATCTGCTTTTATAAAATCCCTGTTTTAGACCATCCCCTTGTAAGACCACGTATTTGCTGTCACCCTGACCCTGAGTGCAGTGGAGCTGGTGGTCCATCCTGGAGCATGTGTGCTGGATTTGGTGTTTCTCCTGCACCAGCTCTGCTGATGCTTTGCCACACCAGCTCTGCCTGGGCACTTGGGAAATAGCCCCATCCCTGTGCCTGCTGCAGCTCCCTTATCAATAGCCACAGCCATCAATCTGTCCAGGTTTGTTAGACCCTATCGATCGCACCCCAGAGGCAAGCACCCCTAAAGGCAGCCCTGAGACAGTCACACCACCCGGTTCCCCCCCCCCCCCCCCCCCCCATTACTGTATTTAGCCAGAAGTTGATGCCAGTAATCCCATCACTGAAACCTGCCTGGGTGTTTGCTGAGCTCCTTGCTCCCCCAACCATTTCACATCAGGTATGCTCTGTCCTCACAGGCCAGGCCAGCTGTTACTTGAATCTGCTCCCAAGAACGCCTCTCAAAAACCATTTCACGATGCTGGTCCTTTGCCAGAGTCAATGGATGCAACATCCCGGCTTACTGGAAATCCAGTGAGTCAAAGCGTGGAGACTGAGCAGCAACAAAGCAAAGCAGTTGGCTTGAGAGCCTGCCACTGCCTGCAGCGGGGCTGGGAGCACCTTGATCTCTCGCTGTCCACACCAGCACCCCAAACTGAAATCAGAAGACCAAGTTGTGTGGGTCTCAGCTTCTGTTGTTGCACTGTACTGGAGGAGTGAGGGTTGGCGTCACCCCCCTGTCCCCTCCTTTTTACCTGCATGTGTTTCCAAAAGCAGGTGGATGCCTTGAGGTCTTGGTGGTGTTGAGGGCATTGAATGTGCTTTGATGTCTTGCTGCCAGGGGTGGGCACGGACGCCTCTGGAGAGCTTTGGGCAGTCCATCCCATGCTTATAAACTGTTTTGGAGAGTTTAAACCTGTGTGGAGGTATAGGACTAACCTAAAGGCCAGCCAGAGCTGGGAAGCACCGTGCACTGCTTTAGTGCCATGGCTTTCACCTCTCATGGCCATCTGCATTTTGGAAAGGGTTGGGGTGCGTTTTCAGAGTCCTGAAGGCAGCAGGGTTCACACACACACCTTCTTTGTAGCAAGAGCTGGACATCCACAGTCCCTTCTCCTCGCAGCCAGGACTGAGTGGAGCTGCTGATTGACCACCATTCAACCTCTTTAAGTTCTCCTGAGTTTCTGGCTTCGTGGAAGCCCTCCAGGCTTTCCTTTCCCAATGGCTTACAGCAGTGCCACCGGTCGGGTGATGTTTTTCCACCCTCAACCCTGCCCTGGTCACAGACAGAGGAGCCTGCCCATGGCTGAGCACAAAGAGCAAAGACACTCGGGAGTGTGAGCAAGCAGAGAGGCCAAGGCAGCCTCATGGAGAACTGAATTTACTGTGTGTGTCTGCAGGTTTGTGTCCCGCCACCCCCTCCTCCCTGGAGACTGGTGTCACCCACAATAGCTTCGTTTTGAAAAGAAGGTGGATAGGTAAAGGAGAGAAGGTATAATTATGGGTGGAATCTGGGAATTTTTTTTATCAGATTGTGACACTGTCGAATGCTTTCTGTGCAAAGTATACTGTTGAAAAGGCAGTGTTGATTGTGCCTTTCCCACCACCATTATCAAAGCTCCAGTCAGTCAAATCCTCCCTGTTATTAAACGCTGCTCTGCAAGTCTGCATTGTGAAGCTGAAGGATATAATCACAGGTGCTAGACATGGGGAGAGAGCTGATCCAAAGGTGTGAGAAAAAAAAGAGAAGGAAACACAAAGACGAGCTGAATAAAAACACATAAATGAGGTGTAAAAAATCAGATTACAGGGGGCAGGGAAGGTGGGAGAAAAATGAAGCAGAAAAAAAATCCATTACTTGGGCTTCTTTCCCCTCCAACCTTTTGTTACTATAGAAGGAATGGGAAAGATGCAAGCCAGCACACTGGTGCATTTGCTAGTATTTGTGAGCCCTGCTCAAGACGTGGTACTCGAGGTGATGCAGGTACCATGCTGGTGGTGTCACAGGGCCATCAGCATCAGCCCCTGCTCACACACTGGTACCCTGCAAGCACTTGCATTGACCGTGGTTTCAAGTTAAAGCCCAGCACCAGCAGCACCCATCTGGATGGTCAGTGTGGTTTTCGGGGCACTGGATTGACCAGACACTGCTGGAATTAAGAATTGCATCCAAAGATTTGAAATTCAAAATATTAACACAGACTTAGGCTCTGGGTAGAATATTTCTAAATTTTGCTGCCAGAGTGCATTAGAAAGGGGATGATGTCTATCAGAGCTGCTGTTATAAGGGGTCTGAAGGGCTGCACATTGCCTTCAGTGGTAAAAATAACATGCTCTGGTTGTGAAGCCAACAAATAATTTGGACTCCGAGTGCTCTGGTGCAGTGATGTCAGGCTGGAAGGGTTTGCTGCCACCAAGGTTTTAATTTCAGACTTCCCCTTGTCAAAGTGGACACATTCCTGCAGAACATTTCCATTTTGATGACCTTGCATTCTAAAACACTTGCAAGCAGTGTTAGCTTTGTCCTTTGAAGCCATCTAATACACCATGGAACGCAATCGCCCTCATTCCCCTTAAACAGGGGTATCTCCAGCCGATGCCTCACAGTCCCTCCCGCATCCCTCTGTGCTGCCTTTGTGCATCTTACAAACCCCTCTGTCTTTTAACCAGCAACTTGACCACAGCAAAACTGGAACGAGTCTCCCTGCACAGAGCCAGCCTGGTCTGTAGCCTCCCCCAGCATCAGAGTATGTATTTGAGTCGATGTCAATTAGGACAGAACTGGTGCAAGTCCGACATGGAGCTGTTCTGCAGTACATTTGCAAACCCCTTTGAAAAGTAACACTCCGAGGTCAACTGGTGCAAGTCTGGACAGAGAAACCTGGGTACCATTTTAGCTGGGTTATAGAAACATTCCTGGGTAAAAGATCTATTAACAGGTAAAGCAATAGGTCACCTTTTCTGTCATACAACACCAATAGCATATTAATGGAGCTCACACAACCAACTGGGCAGGCGGCAGGGATGCAGTCACGCTTGTAACACAGAATAACATAGATTTTTCTTTGTTCTAACCCAAAGCACCTTGGAAATTTGGCCTTATTGAGGTCAATAGAATGGGTTTTCTCCTGGATTTTGTCCTGACTCTTCTCAGAGGTAAACTGAGTTCGGAGAGATACCTATGGTCTCACCAGAGGAGTTTCAGAGTGATGTTTGCTGTCCTGTTTTATGCATAACGATACATGAAATGATCATACAGCTTCCTTCAGCCCTTCCTATCCCCCCTTCCACCCTTTCCTGCAAGCATTTGTCTTTGTGTTACTCTGAAGATCAGGGGATCAGAGCATCACTTGTAAACCAAGCAGCACATGCATTGGGTGAGGTTAATGTTGAACACGGCAGGTCATCTCTCAAGCTAGTGTGACCTTGGTTCAAATCCTGCTATATTTCAATTGTTATGGATTTTCAGTGCCTCTTTTGTGAATGGGAACCTCTGAAATGAAATAATATGAGGTGCTATAGATCTGTTTGCTGGCAAGGTTATCACAAAGGCAGGCAGGATGGTTTACCTCTGAGAGGAAGCACTATAAAGCCTCCAAGGTCTGTGAAATACTGCCACTATAGACATGCATCACTGATGTTTAGGGTCAAGTTTTCAACCTGACCCTCAGACCAGCTGAAGAATGCAACTTTATTATCGTGTGATCGCTCCATCGTTCACGTGAGTGATGCATGAAAGCCCAAGCAGCCCATGCGCAGTGAAGTGGTGTGCAGGGAGTAGCAGCGCTACCCAAGACAGCGTTTCAAGGACATACTCAGGACTTACTTGTCCACATACAGTTTACCACTGATTTTCTGCTCTCAGCTGTAAAGAGGCAGCTACAGACTCAATATACAGAGTGACTCAATGGACAGAGGTGTTCTGGACCACAAACCAGGGACCACCCTAGAGAGAAGCACATGGTGAAGGAGGTGACAGCAGCTCGTGTTTCGAGCAGCGCTGGAATTCAGGCACTATGGAAAAGAGTAGAAAACCTGAAAAACCCAAGTCACAATAAAATACCATTGATAGCTGGGCTGGTTTTGTATTTTTCAAGTGCCCAATGGGATTATATCCAAGCTCACAATGGAATGACATAAACCATGCACTCACCATTAATGGAGCAAAATGATTGATTTTTTTGTCCAGTTCAAAACCATGATCCTTCTGGGGTATTTCCTTGATGCTATTTGCAGACTCAGCAGTGGGCTGATGAGGTGAAAAGAATAGTCCAGCTTGTGCTTGCTTGGCAAGGTTTACCTGACCTTCTGGGAGATACAGCCAGAGGAATCAGAGTACTGGCATTTGTTGGTAGACATCTACATGGTTGAACTACATGTCATGGCTCTTGGTGTAACCAGGGAGGAAAATACAGTGAGTTTTTGTTTCAGTTGCAGGCTTCTATTTAAAATGGAAATCTTACTCCACCACAAGCAATGTAGAGTACGTTTCAAACCCTTGGGTTTGACTGTGTCTAGTTGAGATCAGTAATACTCATGCGAGGAACATGTTTTATCCCAGGGTATTCATGCTCCTATACAGAAGACAGAAGAAGCCAAGATTTCCTTTCAGGTGTTTAGAGCTGCAGATTTCAATGAGAAAGCTCTTCACCAGCATTAAAAAGGACAATGAAATAGTGTAGTGAGGGGCTGATTGCTGCTCCATGGGGAGCTCCTGCACACATTATAGACTATCTGCCTCACGTGATAATGACAGACAAGTAGATGACCTTTATATGCTAATGATTTGGCTCCTCGATGAATTCATCCTATGTGATACAGGTAACTTGTCTTTACTCAGTGATGGATCATGTCATGAGATCCCAGAGCTTTTGTGTGTCAGTTAATGTTCTGTCAACACAAGCCCCTGAGAGGTTGTCCCAGATGTCCTGGATGACAATTAAGCTCTCTTGAACAAAAGAGATGGTGCCTAGCGAGTCTGCAGGAGCTGACGCACTTCCTGAAGCACAACTGGTCATATCCCAGCAGAAATCCTTCCTGCGTCTGCTCCATACCTGCTGCTCAGAGCGTGGAGCTCCAGTGCAATAGCAGGGTTAAAAGCCTCCAGTAAACTGAACTGGAAAATATTGATCCAATTTAAAGCAGCATTACAAATGCCCAAACCATTGCATCCTAGCACTAACTAATTTTTAAGTATCTAATGGTTTTATCTGCTCTGCTGCACTCCATAACATCAAGTGAATGTGTTGGTGTACACAGCTACTCCATCACAAACATTTTGCCACCCTGTACCAGATACAGACCCTGTATCTGTCCCACAGTGTCCTCTGGAATGAGTGTCATAGAGAAGGAAATTGCAGAGCCAAACAGGGAGGATGTGAGAGCAGTTCAGCTGATGTCCTGCCCATAATGTGCTTCTCTGATAGTGCCCTTTCACTGCATAGAAATCAGCATCCACAGAATTATTGTCTCTCCTTTTTATTGCTCTCACACTGCATTTTGAAGAGGTTGTAATGAGATTAGCCCCCCTCATTGCTTTACAATATGCATTTTTTATCTGGTTGTATATATAGAACAGGCTTTTTAACTGCATAAAGGTGTCACAGTGAGGTTCAGGCCCTAATGTATGACATTATCTCCTCTGATGATTGCAGTCAGCACCAGGCTATGCATAGAAAAGGCTGTTAACTGGTGTGTGGCGGTTGCTTGCCAAAACGAGATGCACTCACCTGGTAAATGCAGGCTGTTGCCTGCTACCCGAGGTCAGCGCCTCAGCTGATGCAAACAAGTGGAGCCCTGCTAGAATCAGTAGAGCAGTGTCAGTGTACACTGGGCAGCCGATGCTGTGAAAATGGGTAGCTCTTTTTTACACCCATCCCGCAGATTTAAGTGAGGCACTGGTAAAAATCAAGGAGGCAGCTGGAGGTTATAGTGGGTAGGTTATAGCTCAAACATTGCTGAAACTCTGGTTTCAACGTAGTCAGTCATAATATGGCAATGAATGTTTTTCTGTGATCAAGTGATGTGTGCAGGGAGAAAAGCTCCAGGCTTGTTCTCAGGATCATAGAATCCCAGCCTGGTTTGTGCTGGAAGGGTCCTTAAAGTTCACCCAGTTCCAACCCCTGCCACGGACAGGGACACCTTCCACTAGAGCAGCTTGCTCCAAGCCCCTGTGTCCAACCTGCCCTTGAACACTGCCAGGGATGGGGCAGCCACAGCTTCTCTGGGCACCCTGTGCCAGCGCCTCAGCACCCTCACAGGGAAGAGCTTCTGCCTAAGAGCTCATCTCAGTCTCCCCCCTAGCAGGTTAAAGCCATTCTCCCTTGTCCTGTCCCTGCAGGCCCTTGTCCAAAGCCCCTCTCCAGGTTTCTTGTAGACTCTTTAGGCACTGGAACTGCTCTAAGGTCTTCCCAGAGCCTTCTTTTGTTCATCAGGGTGCTGATGGAGACAGGAGGCCAGAAAGGTTTGGACCCCCAGCCCCAACTTGAGCCCTCGTCCTGCCCCAGCTGCTGATGTTCCACCCTCCCCTGAGCCCTGCTGGTTCTGAGATCTCAGCATCTCCCTGCACCACCATCCCCACTGCCTGTACCAGGCCACTCTCGGGCAAGTGCATGAGCTCTCTGGTGTGCCTTATTAGAAACAGAGCACTCTCCAAAGACTGACTAGTGCCCTGTAATGAAGAACCAAACCTAACCCCAGCAGTCACGAATGGGATGGTGTGGACAAGCTCTCCTGCAGGCTCTTACAACGGCCACAAAACCCACTGGACAGAAAGGGTTCAATTCACCCAAACCCTGTTTAGGTATGGAGTCTAAAGTTTACAGATCATTTTATTTTATAGACCAGGATAACTCGGAAGATGGGGTTTTTTTCAGCCTCATACAGTATTTTCTATGAAAGCCTGGATTCCCTCACAGATAAATAATGGATCTTTGCTCTGTTCCTGGGGGCTTTACACAGTTTAAAGAAAAGGAAGCAGAATGTGGCAAAAGCAACACTTCAAAGAGGTCTGTGTGAGCACCAGGGAGTGTTGGGCTTGGGAGATGAACAGCCACTCATTACAGGTATTTCAAAGCAAATATGATAACCAACGGTACTGAAATACCACCTAAGAGGAGTATTTGCACCTCTCAGGAGCTAAAAAGCTCCTGCCACAAAACCCTGAGGTAGGAAGGGATCAAGAGCAGAGGTCAAAAGGATCAAAGCTGAGTTTGCTGCTTCAGGTTTTGTTTAGAACTCATCCAACCCATGGTGGGTAAGCGCTCGTCAAGGTTTAGTGTCTCCAGCCCAAAGCTGGAAGTCTTCATTGTTAAATTAAACCAAGCAAACAGTCATTAGGTTTTACGAGAGAACAGACTCAAGTGCTCAGGAAAACCAGAATTACTGACATGACAGAAACGTTTTCTATTCCATTCTCTTCCAGAAGTTTGGGGAGAATATTTTAAAAACCAAGGAACTCGTGTATTGTATCGATAATTCCATTTGTCCAAAGAAACATCTCACTCCAAATGAAACTCTGTCCACTTTCTAAGGCATGTGGCATGCGAACTATTTATTACTCCCCATAATTTCTGTGCAACCCTTGTTAGTGTTGCCAGCAAGTCCCAAGAGCATAGAATATGGAAACTGCTGCTGGTTCAGATTTGGGGCACAACAGAACAGCTTTTGTCCCCAGACACTTGTCTGCTTCCCCCAGCTCTACCAACCAGGTTGGAAAGAAAAGATCTCACCTTTCTGATGGAAACTGGCATTTTCTAGATGCTGCTGCACCTGCTAGACTGAGGGTGTGAGATTTAAACCAATTAGTTCCATTTGCAGGGAACCAGGCCCTTATTCCTCTTTGAAATAGCTTGGTTTGATTTAATTGAGACTAAATCCGTATTAATACATTTATTAAAGGTTCTGCCTGCCTGTGTAACCCAAGGCAAGTCACTGCAGCCAGCTGCCCCATGAAGCCCAGTGGGAATTGCTGCGGGGCCGGGCAGGGGTTAATCCACCTTGTCCCTAAGCTTGTCTGACACTTGTTCAACTCGATCTAACTTAAAATTCCAGCCTCTCATTCCCCCTTTTTAACTCTCTCTGGTTTACTGGTGAGCGTCAAAGCAAAGATTCCCATGGAGCAGCATTAGCAATGCCTGGAGCCAGCTGTGTTGTAATCACACACAAAGCAGCACAGCTGGATGTGGGGCAGACTGCTTAAATAGGGGCTGTAGCAGTTTGGCCTGCTTTCATGAGAGGCTCAGAGCTACTAGAGCTGGGAGTAGAGCCACACCATCTCTAGAGCTGCATGGTGGGGAACCTGCGGAAGATGGATGCTCTCTCTTAGGACAGCACATGCAAGCCAAGGTAATGCCTGAGCAGGTTTCTGTCTCTTTGTGCTTCCCTAAACTTGTTTCTTGCTGTTGTAGCACACCCAGGGAACACAGGCTTCTCTGCAGTTTGTGCTTCTACAGGGCATTTTATGAAGGGCTTCCAGGTGTTAGCTACCTTAGGAGGTGTCCCCTCCACTCTGTGATGTGGTGTGTCCTTGCAGGGGAGCAGTGACCTGCTTGGGTTATGAGGAGCTTCTAGAAACCTGTTTTTGTATGTGAAATACGGGATTGTTTCCTGATGAATGAACTGGATTTGATGGTTATGGTCTGTCTTTGAGTGTAACAGGTGAAAAACATCGCTCCAGGCACAGTAATTATTGCAGGTATTTGTTGTCTGTGTTGCAGCACTGCTGTTGCAGGCAGGGAAACTGAGGCATGCTTTACAGGCATAATGCAGTGCTGGTTTTCAGGTTTGTTACTGAGTGCTCCTTATAATGCCTCTTAGAGCTCAGTAAGTACCCTCAGGAATGAGAGAGTTGTAGAACAAATACTCATGTGTCTTCTAAAGATCATTGTCAGAAGCTGCAGTATACTTCAGGCTCTGTAACTGAGTGCTGGAGCACAGCTGAGATAGCTTGGAGAGCCTCTTGGAGGCTCAGACAGCACAGACCTACAATCCATGTTATGGGGTCATCTAAAGGACCGGTTGTACTGAATATGATCAAAACTTAGGTGTCTCTGGTGGAGAAATTCTGATCTGGCCTTTTTCAGGCTTGGTGCCTTCCCTTTGAAAGGATCCTTTGTTCTGCAGCTTTTGGGTTGAAATTAAATCATGGCTCTCATAAATACTGATTTTCTTCTGGTTTTTGACTGGCTGGGAGCCAATCCTATATCCTGTAGATACTCATGCCCCTTCCCTGCATGCATACATCATATTAAAGGTTTTCCCACCTTCCAAACTGGTGAAGACTGGGGCATTTGTTACTTCTGTGGAGACCATGTGACAGAAATTGGAAGGTGTGAAGGGCATCCTTGTGCCCTGGGATGGGTGACCCTGAGGTTTATAAATGCAGCAGCAAATTATGGACCTTTAGGGGTCTGGGTATTGGTGCAGCTGGTGGAATGAGCTCCTGTGCAGTTTCTGCCTCTGGGTTGTTCAGGAACCACTTCTGACTCAGGGGGTTGAGTTGTCACTATTCTTCAGGCACTGGCTGGGAAGCTGCTATTGCTGGGTTGGGTGTGACAAGTCCTCTGTGAGCGTTTGGTGGTTGCAATTCAGTTTTACCCAGTCTGTGGCTGGTCACTGGAGTCCTACAGTATCACTCTCACTTCCATGTTCCTTTAAGTTAGGACGCAATGGGTAACAGGCTGTAAGATTTGGGGGGAACCCTGATTTGTGCCGTCTTGCATGCAGCTTTTGGGAATTGCAAACTTTTCCCAAATGCCCTGTGGTTTTCCCAGTGCTCGTGAGTCACAGGCAGCCACTTCCATTCACAAAAACATTTATGAGATTGGGGTTTTAACTATTTAATCAGGTCTGCGATTCTGATCTCTGCTTGAGCTTGCTGGAAATAGTCACACAAACTTCACTGGGCTGTGGCTCTGGCCTCAGTTACTCGATCAGCATGTGATTATATACAGAGACTGTAAAGTGTGCTTGCTCAGAACCTTCCAAAATTAAAAGCAAATGCTCAATGAAGATGAAAAAAGACCTGGCTTGAAAATTGCCTTTGAGAACCCTCAAGCCAGTGTAGTTCTGGCTATGATTGTGTCTTTTTCTGAGACATTCTGAGGAATGTTCTACGTTGGGATTTTTTTGCCCTATGCTCCAGTAGGTTCTGCTGGAGATGGTTTGAAAGATTGGGTTTTGGGAGATGGATTAGCAGGCAGCGAGTTGGCGAGAAGGTCAAAAAGACAACATACTGCATTACTTTATGTACACTGCTGTTCTCATCTACACATATATCCGTTAAATGGCAGTGTATTCTATATGCTTTTTTCTTTAGCATAACTCTTGTGTGATTATATTCATCTCTTATCAGTCTCTGTCTATGAACCACTGTAATGACAGGCAATCAGTAAGCTTGACTGATAGTGACTATTCTGGAGTGTGTTTTTCTCTAAGGCCACATGTTCAAAGCATGAGTGCTGCAGCTGAGTGCTGGTGAGATGGATGCAGAGAGAGGGGTAACTCCATGACCCACTTG